TTTCTGAAGAAGGGTATAGGCCCGAAATGTCAGCTTTCCTGCTCCTCTGATGCTGCTTGGTCTGCTGTGTTCATTCAGCTCTACACCTTGTTATCTCAGATTCTCCAGCATCTGCATATCCTACTACCTCTTCGACCAATACCCTCTGCTTCTATGAGCAAGCCAATTCTGAATCCACACGGCCAAGTCACCATGGATCCCCTGCATCTTAATCTTCTGGATGAGCCTATCATGAGGGACCTTGTCAAAAGCCTTACTAAAATCCACGTAAACAACATCCACTGATCTACCCTCATCATTTACCTTCTTCACCTCCTTGAAAAATTCAATCAAGTTAGTAAGGCATGACCCGCCCTGCACAAAGCCATGCTGACTGTACCTAATTAGGCCATGCTTTTCCAATGTACATAAATCCTATCCCTAAGAATTCTTTCCAATAACTTGCCAGCTACTAATGTGAGAATCACTGGTCTGTAATTTCCTGGATTATCCCTATTTCCCTTCTTCAACAGAGGAACAACATTAGTTACTCACCAGTCCTCCATGTCCTCTCCAATGGCTCAAGGCTCCAGGAATCTCTTCTCTTGCCTCTCTCAATAACCTGGGGTAGATACTATCGAGCCCTGGGGACTTATCCGCCTTAATGCTCTTCAAGGGACCCAACACCACTTCTTTCTTGATCTCAAAATACCCTAGCATATTAGCATGTTCCACACAAATCTCACTATCCTCCATATCCTTTTCATGGGTGAATACCGATGCAAAGTACTCATTTAGGATCTCAGCCACGTTCTCTGCCTCCAAGCAATGTTCCCTTCCTTTATCCTTGAGTGATCCTAAATTCTCCCTTGTTTTTGATGTATCTGTAGAATGCTTTGGGATTCTCTTTAACCCTACTTGCCAAGTTAATTTCATAGCCCCTTCCTGCTCTCTTAATTCCCTGAATGAGTACTTTCCTGCTTTCCTTATATTCTTCATGGACCCTGTCCAATTTTAGCTTCCTAAACCTTACATATGCTTTTTTTTCCCTTTTGACTAAATTCACAACCTCCCTTGTTATTCAAGAGTCCCTTACCTTGCCATCCGTGCCCTTCCTCCTCACTGGAACATGTTGGTCTTGAACTCTCCTCAGCAGGTCTTTAAACAGTCACCGCATGTCAAATGTGGATTTGTTTGATAACAATTCCTCCCAATTAGCACTCCCTAGCTCCTGCCTAATACTGATGTAATTTGCCCTCCCCCAATTTAGTACCTTCCTGCAAGGTCCTGACTTATCCCTGTTCGTAGCTATCTTAAAACTTAGGAGTTGTGATCGCTGCTGCTAAGATGCTCTTCCACTAAAAGGTCAGTTACCTGGCAAGGCTTATTAGCCAACACAAGGTCCACTATGGCCCCTCCTCTAGTTGTACTATCCAGATACTGTTTCAAGAAACCCTCTTGGATGCCCTTAACAAAGTCTGCCCTGCCTAAGCCTCTTGCTCTAAGGGAATCCCAGTCAATACCGGGAAAGTTAAAGTCACCCACTATGACAACTCTATTTTTATTGCAATTTCTGAAGAAGGGTCTAGACCCAAAACATCAGCTTTCTTGTTCCTCTGATGCTACCTGGCCTGCTGTGTTCATCCAGCTCCATACCTTGTTATCTCAGACTTCAGCATCAGCAGTTCCTTCTATTTCTACTTTTATTATGCCTTCCATAATCTGCCAGCATATTTGTTCCTCAATCTCCTGATGGCTGTTGGGAGGCCTATAGTATAACCCAGTGAGAGTGATTGCACCCATCTTATCTTTGAGATCTACCCATATTGCCTCAGTGGATGAGCCCTCCAACATGTCCCCTCTGAGTGCAGATGTAACCCTTCTCCCTGTAAGTGAAACAAAATATGTCTGATTTTTTTCTAATTAATAATCTAATGTAAATTATTGTTTCACTTGATTTCTAACAATTCTACTTTTGGGAGTCAAGTTTTGGGAGACAGGTGTCAAGAATTTTGAGGTAATCTTAGAGAAAATGTTGAAAACACAAACATTTTACAAGATTTGATAAGCAGCCAAAGCAATTTCTGTCAAATTTCTTTGAATATTTCTTTGATTCCAGGGATGAAGGACTAGTTGTATGAGGAATCATTGAGGACTCTGGGTCTGTACTCAATGGAGTTTAAAAGGATGATTTGAAATTTACAGAATACTGAGAGGCCCTAGATAGAGTGGGTGTGGAGTAGATGTTTCCACTAATAGAAGAGACTAGGACCCGAGGGCACAGCCTCAAGGTGAGGGGACGACTCTTTAGAGATGAGATGAGGAGGAGTTTCTTCAGGCAGAGTTTAGTGAATCTGTGGAACTCATTGCCACAGAACACTGTGGAGGCCAAATAATGGAGTGTACTTAAGACAGAGATAGATAAGTTCTTGATTGTAAGGCGATCAAAGGATACAGGGAGAGGGCAGGCAAATGGGGTTGAGAAATGTATCAGCTGTGATGGAAGGGCAGAGAAGACTCAGTGGGCTGAATGGCATAATTCTACTCCTATATTTTATGATCTAATGTATAACCATGTTGCTTTCGTGGCACAAATCTCATAAATTTCTCTATGCAACAGTTGTTGTTAGATACACAACACTGTCCATCATCCGTCTCCCCACAACTCCACAGCATTGAGGTCAGATAGTTCTGATGAAGAATTGCACCTAAAATATGAATATCTTTTCGCCAGATACATTAACCTATCTGTTGTAGATTACTAGCATTTATGTTAGGCAACTACAAGATACACACATTTGAATATGATTAGCAAACAACTGGTATTGTGACTGGACCGTATTATGTTCTATTTTGCCCTGCCCTCCTGCTCACAATTCCATGAAATGCAAAGAAAATCCTGTGTGCATTTTTTTCATGACAAATGTTTTCTTGAAGCCCACTTCCTTACCCATCTCCTTGTTCACTTCAAATAAGGAAGAACTTACCAACTACTTTTTCACCACGGTTGTTTTGTTGACCGGTTTGTGATGCAGAGTAATGCCAATAGCGTGGTTTAATTCCTGGGCTGGCTGAGGTTACCAGGAAATTTCTCAATCTCTCTCCTTGCCTCAGGTGAGGTGACCCTAAAGTTAAACCACCATCAGTTTCTCTCCCTAATGAAAGAGCAGCACTATGGTCCACTAGGATTTTGGCAAATAGGGGGTCAGTTAGCTCAGTTGCTGGATGGCTGTAGAGTGATGTGGGTTCAATTCCCACACTGACTGGGGGTACCATGAGGGTCCTACATTCTCATCCTCACCACTTACCTGACGTGCAGTGACCCTTAGGTTAAACCCCCACCAGTTGTCTCTCTCTCCAGAGTGCAGTCCTATGTCCAGTTGGACTATCGTGACTTTGCCTTTACCTTTATTGTGCAAGAAAAGAGACATGTGGGAAATACGTGCGCAAGTTGTCAAAGTGGCAGGCAGTTTGATAAAGTAGTTAAAAAGGCATATGGAATTTCATATACATAGGCACAGAATATAAAGCAAGAAACTGATCATGAATCCTTATTATCTCTGGTTTGACCTCAAGTATTGTGTCAATTCTGGACACTGAGCCTTTTTTTAGAGCGAGACTAATAAAGTAAAAGGCAAAGTTTTATTCAGCTGATTTCCACTGGATATCTGTCTGGGGTACTTCAAGAACATTCCCTGGAGGGAAATGTACAATTGCTGAAATCATCTCTTGATTTCAGTAATTAATTGTACAAAGTGAACTCTTGGAGATTCTGTTAGTTTCAAAGGAGTATTGATGGTGATTGTCGATAGCTTCGCTATCATTAATTATTGCTCCAAATCAAGGCCATTGTCTTCAATTCCTGTCCCAATCAGTTCATCAGTTCCTTCTCCTTCCCTGGCTATTGTTAAAAGCTAAAACTGAACATCTGTAATTTCAGCATCTATTTGGCCCTGAACTGTGTTTCAAACTCCAGATCTTCTCTCTCATTGAGAGCATCCACCTTCACACCTGCAGCATCATCTCTCTCCTCTACAACCCAACTTATATGATGCTGAAATGGCCATTCATAGTTTTATTAACTCTGGACATCTATCTTACTTTGAATCTTCCATCTTCGATAAACTTTTATTTTTATTCTTTCATGAGATATGTGCATTGCTGATGAAGGCTGCATTTGTTGCAAATCACGAGTTGCTCTCAAGCTGAGTGGCTTGCTAGGCCATTTCAAAAGGCAAATAAGAGTCAGCCACATTACTCTCGATCTGGTGTTTGCATGTAGGACAGTCCAGGGAAAGAGGCAGATTTCCTGCCCTAAAGGAGATTGCTGAACCAGATGGGTTTTTCCAACAATTAATGATAGTTTCATGGTCACCATCACCAAAACTCGTTTTCACTTCCAGATTTTATTAGTTGAATTAAATTCTACCATTTGACATAGTGAAATTTTGACCCATTCCCTAGAGCAGATTTAATAGAAGTTTTCGCAGTCATGAGAGGCCTGAACATAGTAAAAAAGGACTAGACTATTCCAAGGCATAAAAGGATTAAAAAAAAGCATCACCTATTTAAAATGTCTTGAAAAAGAATGAAATCTGATGTAAGAAAAACAATTGAGTGAATGGTTGAAGTCTAGAATGCACTGCCTGGAAGTGTGGTAGAGGCAGATTCAATTGAGGCGTTCAAGACAGCATTAGATTATTATTTGAACAGAAAAAAATATGTGCAACAATATGGGAAAACAACAACGCAAAGGCACAAAGTCATTGTGCTCATTTGGACAGTCAAGTAAACACTTTGAACTAAATGGTCTCCTGCTCAATAACACTGTGATTCTGTAATTTATGTCTCATTCTTTTTAGTCACTTACAGAACTACAAATAAAATAACAAAGCAATTAAAAAGGCCAACTGGCCCATCTTGCCTCTGCCAGTTCTTTGAACAGCAATCCAATTACTCGGAGTTAACGTTTTGGGTCTGGTGACCCTTCCTCAGAACAGGGGAAGGGTCACCGGACCCGAAACATTAACTCTGATTTTTTCTTCACAGATACTGCCAGACCTGCTGAGCTTTTCCAGCAACTTCTGTTTTTGCTCCTGATTTACAACATCCACAGTTCTTTCAATTTTTAATTGAAGTACCCTCTCTGCCCTTGCTCCGGATCCATGGCCTTTCCATTCTATCCTCTTCAGATGTTTGTCCAGTGCTTTTTTGTACGTTACTACTGGATCTGCTTGAGTATATCCAGAATATCATAATTTTTTGATAGGAGGTTTACCTCATGTGATTTGTGGTTATTTTGCTGATCACTTTAATTCTGTGCACTTCGGTTCTAATCTCTTCTGCTTTTAGAAATATTTGCCCTATACTTACTTTATTTTCGCTCAACTTCCCGATTTTGAAACCTACTATTAAATCTTCCTTTCAACTCTTTTGATCTCAGATGTACAATTCTCTCATTTCACCATGTAAATGAAGTTCCATATCACAAGTACCATTCAAGTACATCTTTCTACACCCACACTAAGGCGTTAACAACCTTCTTGAAGTTTCCTGCTTTAAACTGAACATTTCAATCAGTCAGGTCCACTCTGACTTTCATATTGGGTATTGTCACCATCTAGTTACTATCCAGCAGGTGGTAGAAAGGGAAATTGCGCAAGAATGAGGCACGATTAACCAATAATAGGATGTTAATGCATGTAAATAAATGCAAATAGACCTCTAGCTGCTAACTAATGAGATTCTCATCTCACCATTCAGCAGTTGGATGGAGAACCAGACGTTTTGTTCTTGCCACTGAGAATCTCAACGCTGCCTTTCTGATCTAGTTTCCCAACTTTCCCTTCAATGCCCACATTATTCAGGGGCTGGAAAAAAATTGTCCCTTGCGTTGAACACACTGCTGTTTCGTACACTTGCAACAGTCTTGGGGTGTTCTAATATGTTAAAGTCACTTATATAAATGCAGGTTGTTGTGGTGTTGCGTGGTTATTTAAATGTTTTTTTTCATATTTGGAATTATCTTCGTTTTTTTTTCAGGACACTTCATGTTTATTTTGAACAATGAGAGCAATCTTTTTCAGGTTGCAGAACTGAATAGTCCCCAATTAAGTCAGTCAGGAACAGGATGTACCATGCATTTTTGGTAAGAAATAATTTCAAATTCATGATGATCTGTCAAAACATGGAACTGATTCTTTTGAAAGCATCAGATCTCTGAGCCACACCATTTATTGGAAATTATTATTTGTGCTAAAGCACTCATATTTGGAAGTTATTTTGTGTGCATGTATATATGTCTCATATATATACATAGCATTTACAATCTACATTAGGAAGTTAAAAACTTTAAGGATGATTATTTTTACCTATACACCCATAGCTTCATCTAATAACTGTATGCTTTTATTCACTACAGTAACATTTAAGATAAAAATCTTTGATAATTCATATAATTTTGAAAGCAATTTCCCCAAACCAACTTTTCTACTGAATTCAATCCTACTGGCATACTTTAATCAACTGAGTGGTTATCTCTTGACAATGTTTAATGACTGAACAAATTACTTGCTATTTGATATCTCCAATAGGTATTATAATTATGGACAGGCTGTGGGGGCAGCGAAAATGTATCTGGTGATCGATGGTGTGCAGAATCGTACTGTGGTGTGGTGGACTTACAATACTCAATACAATCAATGGCTGCAAGGCTCTGTTCAGCTTGGGCGTCTAACACGACCCTTTCACCTTACGCTAGTGAAAGTCAGTCTGAGCATTTATGATGGCGTGGCAGCAATGGATGATATTACATTTGTCAACTGCTCCCTCCCATCAGCTGTAGACTTCTGTGAAGGCACCAACCAATTCTGGTGTAAAGAAACCAGAGCTTGCATTGACCAGTTACAATTATGTGACCTTATAGATGACTGTGGTGATGGTTCTGATGAAGACAACTGTGGTAAGTGGAACTTGAGAATTCTGCTCAAGATCAATATTGCTCATTTGGGATATTTGTGTTTAACATGGAAAGAACATTTGCGTAGAGTGCTTTACACAAAGATATATCTGCAGCTTCATTATTCTTCAGCTTAGTTGTTATTTTCTAATGATGATAATTAACAGTAGCCAAACTGTGGCTTGCCTTTTGTAATTCAGGCAACAGTGTGGCTAATGGGTTGGAAATTAGGTCAGTACTCAAATGTGATGTACTTTCCCATCAATTTCTGTAGAGCCTTGTTTCGGGCGGAACCTTCAATCACCATCCGTAACAGCTCTCTATCCCCGAGATAGTAGGAACTGCAGATGCTGGAGAATCTGAGACAACAAGGTACAGAGCTGGATGAACACAGCAAGCCAAGCATATCCCCCTTCACTTTTGGAAACAAAGAAATCACCTGCATTAGAATGAGGAAAGACAGCTCCAAATGTTTCCTTAGTCCACACTGGTGGCTGTGTGAAGGCTATGTGGCCAGTGCTGGCTTGGATCAGCAAACCCCCTGGTTGTCAGTATTCATAAATTTCATTGCCCACACTCTTTCCACTTTGTAAGGGTGTTGATTGGCACCAAATACAGAATTTCTAAGATTTTAGCTGCTGGAGCCCTTTGAAGCATGAAGGATTGCCTGAATATCTTCCCCAACACTATTCCCTAATGGCTGGGTGACCCGCTGGCCAGTTATACATTGGAGACCCTGCCTTTAACCACAATATTCATGAAATATGAATCCAGAGAAGTATACAAGGCTCAAAAACAGAAGTTGCTGGAAAAGCTCAGCAAGTCTGGCAGCATCTGTGGAGAAAAAAATCAGAGTTAACGTTTCGAGTCCGGTGACCCCTGCTCAGAACAAAGACCCGAAACGTTAACTCTGACTTTTCTTCCACAGATGCTGCCAGACCTGCTGATCCTTTCCAGCAACTTCTGTTTTTGTTCCTGATTTAAAGCATCTGCAGTTCTTTTGGTTTTTATTAGGTATCTAAGGCTGACTGAAACAATGATACCTGTTTTACTTGATCACTCAGCATCAATATTACATATTCACCTGCAGAAAGGCAGGAAAATATTTGTCATTTGATATTTTTCACGTTTATAATTTGGAATTGTAGATTTGGGTGATCTAATGATACGGATGATTCTATGCACAAATTCTTATTCTGGCTAATATTAGTAAATAATTTCCAAATACAAATGTCTACATGGTTATATATTCAAGTAATTAATCTTTTACTTCCTGCGTTTTACAGCTAATGATCTGCTTTGCAGTTTTGAAAATGGGTCATGTAACTGGCAGCAAGCTAAAGAAGATGATTTTGACTGGACAAGAAATAAGGGACAAACACCAACAGTCAACACAGGGCCATCAAAAGATCACACACTGGGGACTGCAGAAGGCACTTACCTTTACATCGAAGCGTCTGATCAACAATTTGGAAATACAGCTGTTCTCCTTAGTCCAATCTTGGATGCCACAGTTAACAAGACCTGTATCTTCCGTTTCCATTATCACATGTTTGGAAAACAGATTTTTAGATTGGCCATTCACAGAAGGACATTCCACAACACTAAGGGAGAGCAACTTTGGGCACGATACGGTAACCATGGTGACTTATGGCTAAGAGAGGTGCTTTTTATCAAGAGTTCCCAACCATTCCAGGTAAGCATAGTTAACTAATACAAAATCCCTGGATTCCTTCCTTAAACCTCTCTGTCTGACTACCTTACTTTCTTCCTTTAAGATGTTTCTTAAACCCTACCTCTTTGAGCAAGTGTTTGGCCATCTGGTCCGATATTTTATGCAGTTTGGTTTCAAGATTTGATTTATAGCTCTCCCCTGTAGCACCTTTAAACATTTTGCTGCACGAATGTTGCTATTTACATTAGTTTTTGTAAAAGATCAATGGATCATATTTAATCATGTTTGATATACTGTTAGCTATTTGTGTCTGGAATATTTTAGTTTTTACAACACTCTTAAAAAATTTTTTGAATTATAGCATTACCTTAGTAGGAAAAAAAAACCTCAGGAGGTGCATTAATATATTTTATTAAAAATGTGAAAAAGCTTTTGTACACAAGTGGTACCACTAGATTTTTTTCTGCTGGCTTCTTAGACATTTGTTCAGAGCTGTGCTAGACTGTCTTATGTCTTTTGTTACCTCCAACAACATCTTGCATTTAATTGGTCAGTTCAAAGACATTCATAGCTGGGTGTCTGTTTCCCACACCAGGTGGGCTCTGACTACCATTTCACTTTTTTTTTATTCACTGATGGGATGTGGGTATCACTGCCGAGGACAGCATTTATTGCCCATCCCTAATCAGAGGGACATCGACAGTGTTGTTAGGGAGGGAGTTCCTGCCTGCTCCTGGTGAAAACCAAGCTAGCATTGCTGCGCAGATTACTGGTAGTTGGCTCCTGATAGCACTATTGACAATGCCTTCCGTCACTTTGCTGATGATTGAGAGGAGACTGACAGGACAATAACTGACCAAATTGTATTTGTCTTGGTTTTTGTGGATCGGATACACTTGGGTAATTTGTCAGCTAGATGTTAGCTTGTTTTTAAATTCATTGGATGTTGGCATTGCCAGCTAGGCCAGCATTTATTGCCTACCCCTCAGCTGAGAATCAATCACACATCGCTGTAGATCTGGAGTCACATGTAGGCCAGACCAGGCGAGAACAGGAGCTTCCTTCCGTAATGAACTGAATAGGTTTCTCCCCGGCAATCAATAATTGTTTCATGGTCATCATTAGACGCTTATTTGCAGATTTTAATTGAACTCAAGTTCCACCATCTGCTACGTGAGGTCACTACCTGGATCCCTGGATTAGTAGCCTAGGGATAATACTATTAGGCCATCACCTCCCCTTGCTATGTCATTGCACTAGAACAGCTTGGCTCGGATTGTAGTAGGTTATGCAGCACTGCAGGGAGGACTTTGTCAGGACCCATAGCTATTTTTAGATCAAGTGGACTCAGTAACTTTATAATAACTTGTAGTCTGTATCAAATTAATTGATGAGTGGTGTGAATCACAACAGGAAATGAAGATGGATCAACCAGCCTGCACCAGGCTGAAGATGGTTGAACAACTTCGGTATTGTCCCAGCATTATTGAGGAATAGCGATGTTCATGAAGCTTCCTCCTCCTCCTCCTGCTTGTGGATTATTTATTGACCATCATTCACAATATGACATGACAGTATTGTCGAGCTTAGTTCAAAGCTGGTGTTTGCTGTCTCAGTTCCTGTTATCCATGCTAATGCTGCTTCACTATTTCCTTAAAACCCCAAAATTGATTAGAATGACAAAAAAAAAGCACATTGAATCAATTTTGCTGACATCTTAGCCTGATTCTCTAATAGCAACCCTGATAACTATATGCAAGGTATTCTGTGATGGACTTAATATAAATGTCATTGTGTACAGATCTTTGAAGTCCTCACTGCATTTTGTGAACGTAATTACAAAGGCCCACTGAAATATTTTATTGTAGTGGGAAAAGACCATAACTCTTTTCAAATTTGATATTAACAATGGGAATATCTTACACAATGAAGTAAGATTAATCATCACAATTCCTCTTGAGTAGACACAGGGAATGTAAATGTGACCAGGGCTTGGGTTAAGATAATATATTAAAGGCTGCTAAGTCACCCTTTTGCAATTTCCATGATGGTTATAGCTGAAAATCATGATGGTTTTCAACTTGTATATGTTTGTCATTTACAGATAGCTCAAGAAAAGTTCAAAAATATATCTCATATTGCAATACCAGTACAAGTTGTTAGTTTCACAGTGAGCATTTTGATGGCAGTAGAAAATCAATTACAAAGCAGTTTCTATTCACTGCTGGAACAAACTTGACTTTAATGTTTCTTTGAAATGAGTCGTACTGCTCCCGATGAGAGTTATTTGAAATTGCCTTTGTCCCAGTAATGGTAAATTGTAGTTCAATATCTTATTATTTTCATGTGATCCATGAATGTCTTTATGCCTACTCCAATCCTTTCCCTATAACTTCAAAAGGAAAAAGGTACAACAAGGATAATCAGGATGCATTAAGGGTGGCACAGTGGCTCCATGGTTAGCACTGCTGCCTTTGCAGAGCCAGGGACCTAGGTTTGATTCTATCCTCGGGTGGCTGTCTGTGTGGAGCTTGCACCTACTCCCTGCGTCTGCATGGGTTTCTGCCGGGTGCTCTGGTTTCCTTCCACAGTCTAAAGATGTGCAGGTTAGGTGGATTGGCCATGCTGAAATTGCCCTGTAGTGTCCAGAGATGTGCAGGTTAGCTGGATTACCCATGGGAGATGAGGGGTGGTCGTGGTGGTAATGGGGTTGGGGTGGAGGATTGGGTATAGGTGGGATGCTGTTTGAGGGGTAGGTGCTAACTCAACGGGCTAAATGGCCTCTTTCCGTACTGTAGGGATTCTGTGATAAACGGCACTCTGAGGAAAGACCAAATAAAAATAAGTAAATATTGGCTAAACCAAACTAAATAAAGCTGCAATATTTAAATCTGTCTATGTTAGTAATGTATTTTTAAAGTACATCTTACACTGGAAATATCTTCTCACTTTAGTTTGCCAATAATTTGCTGTATTGTGCAAAGGGCAGGCAATTTAGCCAGGTAGCTATCTTTTGTTGTCTCTGGGAATTTGTTCTGTGCAAATTTACCTCCAATGCCTGACCACATAACCAGAATGAATTCTTTCCTCTTCCTACACCCAGTGGTGCACGAGGCAGACAAAGCAAAGCACATACTTTGTTTGTTGCCATAGCTAGTTTCTGCTGGAACAAGTTATAGCCCTACTTTCTAGAGGGTTGAGGGCGCCACTCCACAGGAAACATGGCCGACTCGGAGACTTTCCTGCTTTTATTGCCTGCACGGCAAATTAGAAGAATCAACAGGTTAATAATCAACCTCTTTGCCTATGTTACATTTATAATTTCATTGATCATCGGGCCTTCGGGTGGAACTTGAAATTGGAGCATTTGGTCCAGGGCCAGGAACACGACCCACTGTGCCAGAAGACCACCCACACAAAAATAACAGAAATGATTTGGTGACAGTGAAGCACATTGGGAATTCTGGTATAATAAGAAGCTTCGTAAATGTTAATTTTCTTATCCAAACACCATCAAAAATTCCCAAACACGTGTTCAGCTCAATTGCATTTGTGCATTTTCTCCTTAATTTAGTGTGGTGTACAAAATTGGTGTCATTTACAAAGTACCATCTGAAAAGAAAATTGCTTCCAACATTCGCAGTTTTGATAAATGTATCTGAAACACTCTCCCTGATTAGTTGCTTGAATGCTGAGAGGCAACCTGATTGAGGTGTTCTGAGGGACATGCACAGATGGATAGAAAGCAGCTAATCCCATTAGTTGAAGGGTCAATAATGAGGAGGCATAATTTTAAGGTGAAAGGTGGGAGGTTTAGTGGGGATTTGAGGAAAAAGCCAGAGAGTGGTGGGAATCGAGAATGCACTGCCTGGGAGGAGAGAAAAGGCAGGAAACCTCACAACCTTCAAAAACTATCAGGATGAGCACTTGACATGTCATACATGCAGGTTTATAGGCCAAGTGCTGGAAATTGGGATTAGGGTAGATAGGGCCCCTTCTGTGCTGAATGAGTTTATGCTTCTATACAACTCAAGCGAGTTCCAATTGCTGAGAGGAAGTAATGTTACATGATCCAACAGGTTTCTTCAAGTTATTTTCTAGGTGTTACATTATCTGTAGTCACAATTACATTAAAATAGAATCTATTATCATGAAAGCCAGAACAGGATGTGTTGAAGTTGGGGTGGCACGGTGGCTCAGTGGTTAGCACTACTGCCTCACAGAGCCAGGGACCTGTGTTTAATTCCAGCCTTGGGTGAGAGATGTGGACATTCTCCCAGTGTCTATGCAGATTTCTGCTGGGTGCACGAGTTTCCTCCTACAGTCCAAAGATGTGGATTATCCATGCTAAATGCGGGGTCACGAGAATGGGGCGAGTCTGGGTTGTCTTTGGAGGATCAGTGCAGAGTCAATAGGCTGAATGGCCTCGATCTGCACTGCAGGGAATCTATGAAGTCCATCCAGCAGCCACTGGGTTTGAAACTCTCAGAATTTCACTGTCATTTTGGCTTAGGGCAGCCGAATGTATTAATTAGTCCAGAGGGTGCTGGGAGCCAGCACACAAACAATATTCCCAGGTTGTTTGGATTATAAATATCATTAAAATGACCATTACAAATGGAGAATCAAAATAGTGCCCAGGCTGTGGCCACTGTCTCTTCATTCAGAGTTCTCTATGGGCAGCCAGTGCTGTCTCCACCATATGCCTTTCACAAGACAAAGTGCCATAGCTTTTTTCCATCTGTTGCACTACGGTCTGCATTGCACCCTCGTAACAGTTCATACATTTTCATGTCGCTAGTTCTTTCCAAGGCTGCCCACGAAGAGTGATGTTTCCTGCTTCTTAATGCTTTCTTATGAAAACTTCCGTAGAAGCCTACTTTTCCTATCAAACACACTTTTTTTTAAAAGCTAACGTTGAAACAAATTTCACTGGTACTGGAAATCCAAAATAAAAACAGAAAATGGTGGAAATACTTACCAGGTCAGGCACTATCTCTGGAGGAAGAAACAGATTTTACATTTTGGTTTGATGACCTTGAAGGGTTATAAACACCTGAGAAGAAGTAATTTGCAGGGCTTTGATGAAATGTCCAGGTGTGGGACATTCTGAGTTATTCTTGCAGGGAGCCAGCAAACATATAATGTGCAGAATGGCCTCCCCTTGTGTTGTAAACATTCTATGATTTGATGATGCTATTGGAATAAGTAACCAAGTGAATACAATAAAGTAATGAAGTTTTGTCCTTGGTTCAGGCAATTTATTGTGCAGCCTGCATAATTTATCAAAAATTTACTATGCATTTAATAGTAAAGTTTTATCTTTACTTATACAAAGCGCATCTTCAAAATTAATTATTTCAATGTTTTGCCATATAAAACTGCTTAGGAATGTGAGGCAATGCATTTCTCATTGGGGGTCAATAAAAAGTCATCATCAGAGTGGCAAGTCTAACTACATGATACTTTCTGGAGAGGGAGTATTATAATTAAGTCAATAGTACTAAACTAGACAGTTTACAATAATAAATTGCCTGCATTAAGAGCAGTTTTACTAAGCAAAGGTTATCACTAATTTCCAGTGTGATAACAGTTTGTAAAGTTTTCCCTCCTATTCAGAGTTGTTAACTACATAATTAAAATGTGTAGGACTAATTAACATGATCATGACGAGAAAAGCTTCAAGTTACATTGTCATATAATTGCAGAGTGGAAGCTGAATTCAGAGAGGTTGAGGGTTACTATATATGTATGTTTATTTAGAATTTTCAAAGGAGCCAACATGCAGAATATCCTCAGAACTGTTTTTTGCTGCTGTGTCTTCACTGAATTGTGCAGGAAACCCCACTTACACCTTCCACTAGGGTTTCTGCTATGTGTCAGATGAAGAGACAGTGTTGGCGGTGAGAAAGTCGAAGTGATTCAAGATTCAGGAAATTTTACATTAGAAGGCCAAGTGTCTTTCCACACCAGCTCTCAGAAACAGCCATCCACGTACCCCTGTTTCCTAGATAGTAGGAACTGCAAATGCTGGAGAATCTGAGATAACAAGGTGTAGAGCTGGATGAACACAGCAGGCCAAGCAGCATCTAGGCCCGAAACGTCAGCCTTCCTGCTCCTATGATGCTGCTTGG